AACTTCTTTTTCGAGCTTTTGAGGAATATTTCGAACAAAACGATTTTGACTTTTGAATACTTCTAGCAGACTAAATATAAATTTTCCTCAATGGACCCAAAACAATAGCTCTCTTTGTCAATGTCAACTTTCATCATGGCTTAACAAGATTTGTAACGGTTCAACTGGATTTAACGCAAGGTTAGCTGTTGAAAACTGATTTTTGGATATTTTCCATTCATCAGACTGTCGTCTTTTTTGAGTGAGGTTTCTGTGGATAACCTAGAGCCAAAACTCAACAATAATATTCAGTTTGGCTCAAATGCTCCCTTATGTCATAAATTGGCTAGCTTCGCTCTCTTCTTCATGGACTCTTCATCAACTCTCCGTCTAGAAAAGCATTTAATAAAAAAATTGTTGACGATCAAATCTATTGCTGATTGGTCGGGCTAACGCTGTTTTCAGAGTTCGAAGGACCACTTAGGAATCTTTTGGATTCCCGATAGGTTCAGCGGAGTAATAACCACTTAACTTTGTTTTTCATTACTTTAATAAATATACGGTACTCTGCAAGCCAAACAGAAAGAAACAAACAAACATTTGTATTGCATATCAAAATTAATTGAAATTAGGAGGCATTCGCGGAGCGTCTCGACCCACATCCGTTCCACGCGTGAATCCCGTCGGGACCTGTCTTTTTCATCCTTGTCCTAGTGCGGTGTTGCCGGGTTGCGTCAAAGCTTGGAATTAATATTTTGTCTTTCGCCTGGACACTGATTGTAATTTATTCCCGTTACAATAAAATATATCACAGATGTATAAGTAGATAAAAATTGTCTTTAAATGTATTCTAGAACTTACGGAACTTACCATATCCGCACAGATAGCAAGAAGCTTTGCCCCCTACAACATTGTTCGAGTGATACAATTAACATTTTGAAAGTTTAAGACCAAAAGCAAATAGTCTCCTTTACCATCTTCTCGTATATGCTCGAATGCCTAGTTCTTTGAAGGCCAGTTCAAAAAAAACTCACAAATGATCAAAAAACACATCTATTCTTACAACACAACAATATTGATATAATCGTAACAATCATTTACTGTCAGTTCGTTCCCATCGGAGGATAACATAAGGGTTCTGCACACTGCATAGTGGGCTCTACGTCTCAAACTATTTGAGATGGTTTTCTGTCATTTTGTCTCTTTGCTCTTATCATCAAATGAAAATTGCAACATATTTAAATGGATAACTCTGAATGTTTTTTGTTATCGGTGAGTGATTTTCGTTAATTTCTTCCTTTTTAAATAGATCTAACAGTAAATCGTTAATCTTTGTTTCATATTGTATTGTCTTGTATTTGGAGTTTTCTGTATAGATAATAAGATTTGAGCTCTGCATCTGACATTCTTATAGGTGTGATGACGCCATTTTAAAATGGTTTCCAAAATTTAGTTGCATGAACACCCTGTAAAATTCACGATGGGTGATATATTAAATTTTTTCATATTAAGTGATAACAAAATTATAAAAATTATCTTGCTACATAGTCTATAAAAAAAACAAGTTACATATGTCCCATTGGCATTTCGAAAGTGATTTTTTAAATGTTTTCTTTAAAACATATCTTTTTAAAATAATAATATTGAGGATTACCCTTTTTCTAGATAATAATAACGAAAATAAAAATGTTCATATGCTTGTGGGAATTAATGTCGGTTTCTTATATAAGGAACTTATTTTCTTGAATATAACATTCTGTAACAACGATAATTTAACTATAATAATAAATTATAAACATCCATCTGTTTTTAGAGACCTACTAAAACAAAATCACCGGCTCTACAATAGTTTTAGCCTCAGTTTTTAAACGGTTATTGCCAAATATGTATGAAAAATTTTTCCTGGACTAATTAACCTCACATTAAAAATATACATTTTTCTTTGGGTGGTCGTAGTTTGCGGTCGAAGATAATGTTCTATGTGACATTAAAAATCTTTATACGGAACTATTTAAAGGTTGATGCTTAGGTCACCTCCTTTTATAATGGCAATTAAATAAGAAAGAATGTTTACCAATGCCGACAAATGCATGAAAACCGTAGAAATGTAGGTTATTAATATATTCCAAATTGGAAAAATAGATAAGGAAATGCTTGTCTGTCTATTTATTTTCTTAACCAGGAGATGAAACCTTATAGAAACGTCGATATGATAAATACGGAAAATAATGTATATGTTTATACGATGGAAACTGGAAACTCAAATTGGAAAAATTTTCTATATCATAGAAGACACTTCACTTTTCGCAAATTTAAACTATGCCTTGTTTGTTAATGCGAAGGAGTTATAAATCATTATTGAAGTGTAATACTTAGTCTTATTCCATAGCCGTAGTATTGTACCTATGATGTTTGTCAAGAGCCCTGAGAGTGGCAGGTAGACGAACAGGTAGTTGACCTATCTATGCCTTATTTTTTTTCAAACTTCTACAGACTTTTATAATATAATTTACAAGTCTTCTAGATTCCTCATGCGTCGTTATCATCATTCACTCTGTTGAATTCACTGCTGAACGTAGGGCTTCCCCAAACGCGTCCATTTTGCTCGATCTTGAGCAGTCGGGTCCTTTGATGTCATCGCTCCAACCCGTTGGAGGGAGGCCTTGTTCTGCTTCTTGGATGAGCACGAGTTTCATGGTCCATCTATCGTCTCTGAGTCTCGCAACATTTCCACCTAGGTGTGGTATTTCGACCGATTATGTGAATTCCTCTATTTCATATAAGATATTACAGCCTGACACCCAACATTGCCCTTTCCATTTTTCTTTGGGTTACTCCGGGTTTGGATTATACATTTTTATTTAGATTGCTGCACATGTAATACACACTGTAGCTCTTACTTTGCTCCTGCAACCTCCTATACTACGCTGTCCAGCCCAGTCCTATTCTTCAAACAGTTTGATGCGTCTATATTCATGCAAACCATTTCAGTTGTTTTTGCTCTGTTTTTGCCATTTTTGTTATTTGTCTGTAGTTTTCTATATATGATGAATATCCCTTTTTCAATATTAGCACCATTAATATATCCTTCCAACTTGCTGGTCCAGAACTATTAAAAAGGCAGTTATTTAAAATTTCCGTAATTTTATTTAATAGGACTCTTCCTCCAAGTTTTATTGTTTCGATCATTATCTGGTGTTCTCCCGGCGCTTTGTTGCTTTTCATTAATGGACATTTCAGTTTCTTCCACAGTGATCTCAGGTAGTTCCTCCAATCTTTAATTCAGGCCGCCAGTGCCTTTCCTTGCGTTCTTCTTTCAATTTTTGGCTGCCCTGTTATAGTTTGGTATAACGATCAACGATCGGAAGAAGTTTTTCTCTATTGGTTGTTACCTCTCCATCTTTGTCCTTCAGTTTGAAAATTTCATTTTTGCTGGTAGTTTGCTTTCTTCTTAGGGGTCTCAAACTTTTGTTCTCCTCTGTGGTATTCTTGATTTGGTCTGTATTATACTTTCTTATGTCTTGTCTGATTCTTTTTTATATGTTGGTCAGTTGTCGTGATTCCGTTGTGATGAAAATTTCTTCTTGTAAATTTTTGATCATTAATTGTATATTCAGAGAGTTTATTTTCTTTCTTCTGTTTTGGACAGAATTAGACAGATATGTTGATTTACTTTTTCAGTATTTATATGTGCAAATATTTCCTTAAGGATGTCTGTTATTGTATTCTCAAATTCTCCCAGGTTTATGCGGTTCTGTCATATAGTTTTTACTTTAATTTTAGTCGTTTTTTTCCTAGGCTAGTTTCCAATCACTAGCTCTAACCATTCGGTGATCACTTCTAACCGAAACACGGTTTCATATGGTTACATCGTGTCTTTTGCTATTTTGTTGCTGCTGATGAAGCCGATCTCGCCATGTCCATCTTCTATTGGGCATTTTGTAATAATAATTGTTGATTAACAACAAGTTTTTCTCTAGCAAAACGTCCAGAAGTGTCTCTCCCTATACTGCTACCAAACTTTCCTAGCAATACCTCAACTTTTTCTGTTTTGAGATCGATTTTGCGACCCTTCACGCGTCTGTTGTTAATAAATCGAACTTACTAACGTGTCGTTAATCATCCTGTTGCCTTCTTTAGAACTTAACTGAAGCTCATATCTTATTACTCTCCCGCATTAAGAAACATAGTATAGTTTACAGTAAAATAAATAGATATTTATTCCTTGGTATTGGCACAGCATATAATGAAGAGTTACGCATAATGACTGTTCTGAAGGTGTTTATGTTAACTTGTATTTTACGAAGTAAAGCTATACAGCCAATTAAGTTATTCAGAAATTTGTAAGTATAATTGAGCCACTTGAAAAGTACTGAATTTGGTATGACTATAGTTGATCAAAAGGGAACAAGGAGGCATATTTTAATTTTAGTCTCACGAAACAATTGCGATATAGATACAGTCACGACTATAGCGACCAATAATAAAACCGTATATCTGGTAAGCTGTTAAATGTATACATGTAATAAAGTTAAATGTTATTATCCATAGATAAGCGAGTCCTTTGTCGAATGTCACTGTAAAGTCAGTGAAAGTGGAAGGTCTATTTAGGGGGATACCGCCCAAAGTGTAATTAATTATATACAATGTATTTTTGTTTTGATCCGAAGATCGTAATGGTACTTTTTGTATGAAAATTTAAAAATCATTAATGCGTTTTATGCTGCTATAAAATTTAAAATCTACAGCATATAATAGAAAATTTATATTATAGACATCTACTAGATCGTTAATGAAGAGACTGAACAACAAGATGTGAATCAGGTTAAGTTATGTCCAAACTTATTGTATTGTATAATGAAATACACTTTTCTCTAATTTCAACCTGATGATATATTATTTCAAAATTTGATATATAACGTTTGAATTAAAAAAAAAAATGCGTAGGTTTTAGCTGTCTTTGTTTTTTAAATTAAAGACTGATTAGTCTGCCATCGTTAGATCATTTTTGTTGATTTCAGTAATCGATGACTCTGCCCATCACATCACGTACTCGTCGAAGCTAAAAGCAGTGCTAACGCTAGCGAAGAAAAGATTCGGCGGAATTTGGACGAAAAAGACCCTCTACAAACGTTTCCCAATCCTAAAATGGTTACCGGCCTACGACGGAGACTGCGCCATCGGCGATCTTCTGGCCGGCATTACCGTCGGCCTGACCGTTATACCCCAGGCTCTGGCCTACGCCAACATAGCGGGCCTGCCCGCTGAATATGGTCTCTATGGTTCCTTTCTCGGTTGTATCGTGTACATATTTTTGGGAAGCTGCAAGGATGTCCCGGTCGGGCCCACCGCAGTGGCGTCGCTACTAACGTTTCAAGCCCTCAACGGCAAAGGAGTCGAACACGCGATTCTGCTTTGCTTTTTGACCGGTGTGGTTCAGTTGTTAATGGGATTTTTCGGTCTCGGTAAGTATGGATGGGGGAATTATCGACGTGGTAGATAAGCGGTTTCGCTTGGTGATTAGGTTTCCTTATCGATTTCGTCTCCGGACCTGTATCATCAGGTTTTACGTCAGCGGCGGCCCTTATTATAGTCACCTCCCAGGTAAAAGATCTCTTAGGGATAAGCGCGGCCGGAAACACTTTCGTCGACACCTGGAGGAGTATATTCAAGGATATCCATAATATTAAGATGTGGGATACGGTCCTTGGGGTTATTTGCATAGTGGTGCTACTACTCTTAAGGGTAAGAAACCATGTTATATTAACAATTCCATATTCCATATATTGATTATGCAGTGAACGGCAAAGATATGGGACAAATTCATTTAAAAACCGTATTTTATTTCACGTCCATTTATAATTTTTTCTGACGCGTTTGTTGCAGTAAATATAAAATATACAGTGCTGGTCAAAAAGTTGATGTCGATAGCAAGTACATTTATTTTCATAAAATCCTTCTTCAAATCCTGCAGGAAACGCAAAAAATCATTAATTTTATTTATTTCGTATCTAGTTAAAATGACGCGGAGCACCATCCCGTTGAAATCAAATTTGTCTATCTAATATAACAGGTTGACTTGGATTTGGGAAAGACACTACGAGAGTAGGAATTACGTTATTTTGAATAAATTTTAAATAGGTATCGTGCTCCTGTAAGATTTCTAGGTAAGAAATAAGTTGCAATAATTTTGTTATTGAAATTTTTTTGTGGATGGTGCTTATAATTTACTCTTATCCATCAGGGATTACAATACCTTCATTTCATTTATTTATTTATCACTAAACGGTATCTGAATATGAAAAAATGGATTTATGTTGCGCAATTGCAATTATAGTTTAATAAAACTTTAGTCTGCGGTCGGGGATCATCTTGTACGTATGATAGTCCTTACATTGCGTGCAGAGTTGTTCGTTGGCTAACGCAATTATTTGCTACTTCAGAAGAATCATGATGGGAATTATCATCAACTTCTAATAAAAAGTTTAATCTTAATCTGTAGTTTTTGGAATCACTTTTATTTCACTGCGTTAAACAAATTACGAACTTCTTGAGTTCTCGTTTCACTTCACTTTCTTTAAGAACATTACTTATATTAGTTAATTATCTGATCATTTTAAAATGAAATTTCCGTTTTCTTTCTTTTACTCATAGAAAGTATATTTACTATTGTTTACTGTATATTTATTATTGTTGACGTGGGCGAGCATTTTTCTTGTAATCCAATACCTGATTTTTAAATTAGTTTGTTCCATATTTTAGCTATTCGCTGTATATCCATATCTATATACGGTATCTGTATCTTTGGAGCATTAAAAATGGTGGTTTGGAGCGAGAAGGAAAATGTTTCAGTAGAAATATAATAATAACAATAATAAAGAATGTTATTTGAATTAAAGATAATGTTACAATATGAGTCAATATTTAACACTATTTAATTTGACGAACGAGAAAGAATATGTAAGACAATTTTCAATAGTGTAATTTCAATAGAAAATCATATAAAAAAACATCAATAAAAACAAATTTTGCAAGCATTTACCTAGAAATTTCTCTAATTTCTTGATCAAATAGTTATCGAAAGAAGTTAATTTTAGAACGTTGCTTCAGTTTTTATTATTAGTTACTAAATTATATAAACAACTAACATTACTATAACCACATACATTTGCGGAGTAAGGAATTCCTTAAATTGTATATTAAGGTTATATACATGGCAACGATAGCTCAGCTTATTAAAAAGGTATAGAGGAGGTTTTCTAGGTATCTACCATTTTTAATACAATTATTCTATTCTAAATTAAATTAAAATTATATACAGGTCTAGGTCTACGGGGTGTTGCAAAAGAAATACGAAAAGCTTAACCGGGTGATTCCTGGTTTAAAATAAGGGGAAGTTTGTTAATTAACATTGGGTCAAAAGCTAACCAAATACAAATATGGCGGAGAAACATATTTGTTATTTTTTATCTTAAAGTATAACTATTATAAAAACAAGTTTGGCGCATATTTTTATATTTGCATGAGATAGAATTAGACCACCTTGGCATTCGTCTAAACTAAATTTAAGGCAAAACTTACGCGATGACATAAAAAAAATATATTTTGAATTTTAATATTATACTTCTCGTTACCAAATTAAAAATTTCATGTAAAGCACTGCATGTCGAAATAAAAAAAAAACTGTTTTTAACTCGTAAGAATTTTCTTATAATTGCTTTATTTGACATTGCTTAATTACTTAATTATCTAAAATGACTAATTACCCTAATGCACAAATCGCATATATCCATTTTATGCGATGACATAAAAAAATATATTTTTAATTTTATTATCATACTTCTCGTTTCCAAATAAAAAATTTCATCTAAAGCACAGCATATCGAAATAAAAAAACTGCTTTTATTTCGTAGGACTTCTTATAATTGCTTTATTTGACATTGCTTAATTACTTAATTATATAAAATGATTAATTACCCTAATGCACAAATCCCATATATCCATTTTATGCGATGACATAAAAAAAAATATATTGTTAATTTTATTATCTTATCGTTTCCAAATAAAAAATTTCATCTAAAGCACTGCATATCGAAATAAACAAAAACTGCTTTCACTTCGTAAGACTTTTCTTATAATTACTTCATTTGACATTGATTAATTACTTAATTATCTAAAATTATTAATTACCCTAATGCACAAATCGCATATATCCGTTTTATGTACGGGAGTGCAAAAGGAATGTTCTTTTTTTAAATAAAAAATAAAACATTATTTTTTCGCCACGTTGGTAGGCCGGAAACTACCTAATGGTCTCCTTTTGACCGAAAATATATTTAACAAATTACTCTTTATCTTAAACAAGGAATCAGCCTCTTAAATTTTTGTAATTTGTTTTGAAACACCCTGTATATCATATATTATCATTTCTTCCTTCTTTCCGTTTGCAAGATACAGGGTTTGAAGTTCTAAGAAAAATATGTTTTTTATCGTAATTTTAATATTACGCATTACAGCTAGTTGCTCAGATAAACATCGGCAGGTCAGAAGATCCCACGTCCCTCAACAAAATCATAAACAAATCGTTATGGATATTCGGAACCTCTAGAAACGCTATTTTGGTCGTGGTGTGCGGGGTACTTGGATACTTCTTTTGCTCCCAAGGTAATTAATCCATCAACGATTTGTTTCCTTCAGCCAATTAACTCCGCTTTCTTTTATAGGAGATCCTCCATTCAAAGTGATCGGAGATGTCCCTCCTGGATTGCCTTCTGTAAAACTTCCACCCTTTGGATATACCAAATCCTCAAACGGCACAGAAGTCTCGGTTTCGTTTATGGAAATGCTATCGAATTTGGGAAGCGGCATCATTGTGGTCCCTCTGGTCGGCTTGCTCGAAGACATTGCCATCTGCAAAGCTTTTTGTAAGTTTTTCGTTGTTATCATCACCTAATGTATTTTTTTCCAATCGTATTTGCAATATTGTTGGTTAATACCATGAATATTGTTTCGTTACCAAACAACAAGCTTGAAAAATTCCGCTTCGGATGATTTGAAAATATTTTTTTCTATATATGTATTTTTTATTAATGAGTTTTGCAAATTTTGATCCTGGGAATTTATTGTGCATCGAAAATAGTAAATAAATCGATTTACCAAAGTCGACCTAACAAACTTTACCTTTTTAAAAATAGTTTGGTTAGTTTGAAAATATTGAAAAGTTTTTTCAATTTTTCAATTTTCAAAAAAATCGAACAAACTTGATTTTTTTCACAACCTACATTTCTTTTTGGTGCTAATTAAAAGAAATAGGAATTAAACTATTTTGATAGACGACTGAATAATTGAATTAAAGTGTATTTCTTTAAATTTATCTCAAATACTCGATTTCAATGAAAAAATTCGAATTTAACTATAGAAATAGTCTAAAATCAAATAAAGATTAGTTGATTTATTACAATTCAGAGAATTTAGAGAAGAATACAAAAAATAATTAATAAATAAAAATAAGAAAAAATCCCATATGATGCGGACTTCGTCTATGTATAATGAATATTCCCAGAATGGGAAAATGGGAAATGAAATAGAAAAATATTCTTAAAAATATTTTCTGATTACATCTTGAATCTCCTAAATATTCTGTTGATATTCCAGAAATCTGTTTAAACTTTGTTATTAAAATTGTCTAATTGAGAATCGAAGACATTCTTTATTTTTCCTTAAAGATTTATTGCGAAACATAGTTTTCTTAACCTTAATTTTCCCAAAACAACCATTTTGAAATTCTTCGATTTGCATTTCACTTGCACCAATACTTTCTATTATAGTTTTAGTAAAATTATTACTGTGAGATCGGTACTTTTTGTAATTTAATATTAATCTATTATGAATAGGCCTCCTTCATGCTCAATATTAATTATCCACCAAAATTAGTGGAATATGTCCAGGCAGACTGACTTATAACAGATAATTCATATTAATTCCCCCTTTGTTGTGCGGATGTGCCTAAAATTTAAAGATATGAAATCGTTTTCAGTTTTTTTTCTAAAAATTACGACGTCCCGGATATCGAGAGTTTTTTCTGCATTTCCCGTATACCAGAAACATATCAACTCTTTCTTCATTTGTAAATTGATTATTGTTTTCCATGATAATCCAAATCGATAACACGACAAAATCGATAATCAGATAAAAACGTACAAACTGTCAGAATTTTCAATCATGCCGACAAAGCCACCTAAGTAATATTTTATTTTTATAGCAATGTATTTATTTATCTGTTTTTTTTTCTTCCTGCGAGCTTATTTTTTAATGGATTTTGAAAATTTTTATGTTAAAATGTTAAAAAGTACCGGTTTTTTTTTTGTTTCCACTGGGGTGCTATTTGAAAAAACTAGGTTATCCTAATAAATAAGAGTTCATTGCATTAAATGCTATTTGCCATTAGACAAGTAAAGAAAAGTTTTATCCTAAAAAAATAAGAGTTCAGTACATTAAATGCTATTTGCCATTAGACAAATAAATAAAAGTTTCATTTAGAATTTTTCCCATGATCAGGTGACTCGGAAACCGGAAGTGCAACTATTGACTACATATTGTCAATAAAATGGACATTCCATTGCAAATCGCTATCTCCAGCCGTTTGAAAGTTATAGAGTGTTCCCACTTTCTTGTGTCTCCCGGTATAACAGATAAGTACTGTTTCAAATTCAAAGCATACACCTTTAATTTTTTTTTTATGAGTTGACCAAGGAAAATAAGGATGTTTTTTTTAATAGAAATCAATCAATCAACCATCTGTCAAAATAAGCTTGTACCGCATTTATAATAAGCTCATGTTATATCTCATTTCCCATAATTGTCATATTGTGCCTTAACATGAGCCAAATCAAAAGGAAGAGGAGGCAATAATTAAAATAATAATCAAGAAATGTCATGACAGTTTGTCAGCTAAAAGATATTAAAAGGTGTATTTAATTTAATTTCATTTTTATTATTGAGAATTTTAAGGCAATGGTTCTTTTTTTAATATTCAGATGATCCTTTGGCAGAAGGTAAATAAATAAATAAAACAATCAGGATCGATTTTATTTCAGCGAATGGTAAACCGATCGACGCGACGCAAGAACTTTTAGCCGTCGGCCTGTCGAACGTGGTAAATTCTTTCGTCCAAAGTTTCCCGGGATCGGGATCGTTGTCCAGGAGCGCCGTCAACAACGCTAGCGGCGTCCGGACGCCATTGGGCGGTCTCTACACCGGAGTCTTGGTAATCGTCGCTTTGCTCTTCTTCACGCCGTATTTCTATTTCATCCCGAAAGCAACGTTGGCCGCCGTCATCATAGCGGCCGTTATTTTCATGGTAGAAGTTAAGGTCGTCAAGCCGATGTGGCGATCGAAAAGTGAGCGTGAGTCCGGCAATTTAACGGTCGAGAAATATCGTCGCGTTTGCTTTTAGAGAGCGACTTTTTTCTGGCCATCGTTACATTCGTCGCGTGTTTGGTATTGCCGCTGGAGTTGGGAATCTTGGTGGGAATTGGCATCAATCTGGTTTATATTTTATACCACGCGGCCAGGCCCAAGATCAGCGTCGAAAAACTGCTCGTAAGTACAATAAGTAGTCCATAGGCATAAAAAATAACTAGGGAGGTTAAATATCTTGATTACCTACTTCTTAACTAATACTTCAGTATTATTATTATTATTATTATTTTTTGTCTTTTATCTCACCCTCTCTCAGTTACAGAAATTGATATATTCAACGATCTCCCAAGCCATACTCTTTTCCTCTTTTGAATAGTAATAGCATAATTCACAAAAATCTCATTTTTTTTTAAATTTGAGATAGAAGCTTAAGAATAAACTAATTTTATTAACTAAAAAAATATTGTTTCTTGACTAATAAATATTATAGTTTCATAAACGTCATTTTAGTCACGAGTTGATTTGGCGAATGTTTAATGAACGAATCACTGAAGAAGTTTATGAGTGAGGTGTTGCATATTAATTTTTGCTACGACCTTTAGTTTTTGGGTACATTTTCGCAAAATAAGACGAATAGATTCATAGGGATGTCTGAGGTAATCGTAGGATTTGACAAATTTGCAATACCATGGTTGATCGTATGTAAGTATGCAACACATTTATAACTTCTTTAAACACTCGTGTCTCAAACTCTTACTCCGCTTATACTTAAACAAACTCATGTCACATCAATTTACGATCAACATACTTTTCAGTCAAAGATAACTAGCTATTTTAAAACTAATAGTCTCAGCTATTATAGATTAACGTATGCCGTTCATAGTATTGTGCGAACCGTTTATTGTGCTAATGTACAGCTCTTATAGATTGGTGAATATCTCTCACAAGATTCATAACATTTTTTAATTGACACCTGTCATAGATTATTGTAAGATATTTATGACATTAATAATCGGCAGTAGCTGCTCAGCGCTTAATGTTTGTCGAATTTAATTCACAAGACAATAGGGCAAAAGTCCTAACAGCCTGCAACATATAAATTAAAACTTATAAAATAAATGAAATTTATTAATAGAAAAAGATAAGTTTCTTCTTGACTGATAGTATATTATTGTCTGATAAACGAGCGTTTGAAGAAATTTAGCCTTGCATATTTTAATTTTTCTACCATTAGCTGTTCTGTATATTTTTGCTCAACAACACCAATACATTCACAGTTAAGCGTGACGTAACAGGTAGAATTGGCAAACGTCAAAATACTATTTCTATAGTCTATGGAGAAAATTCGTAATTTTGTTTTGTAGCGGTCGTAGAAAAAGTAACACATTGTAAACTTCTTTGGACACTCTTGCCTTAAACGCTCGCTCCACTCGTGAATATACAAACCCATGACTAAAGTGTAATTTTAAAAACTTGGTATTACTCATTCTATCTAACTTTACTTTACTTTTAAAACAATGGCAAGTATTGCACTCCTAATGAAACTGTTTTTAATTGTTTTTGATCGATTTGTTTGTTATATTTGATTAATAGATTTTATTTGATTTTGTTAAAAATGTATAAAAGTGAGATTAATATTTTTTCAACTTAACTGACTGCATTGTTTTAGGTACGTACTTTTAATTTTATATCAATCATGCTTTTACATAAATTTTCTGGTTATTGTTAACATTTCTCTTTGCATATCTCCTTCTCCTACTTACACCATTTTACTAAAGCTTCATAATTTGTGCAAAAGTGAGCTAGTTATTTCAAAATTTTAAAATTCAAAAATCCAAAATTGCCATAAATAAAAAAGTTATAGGCAATTTTCAAAACACCCGAAAATTAAAAAACGATTTAACATGAAAGTTGATTTTGCTGTATCCAGTTTAGAAAGGGGTTTTTACAAGCTGTGGAATTTGTTGTTGTCATTGGTAAAAGGCCTCGTAAATATTACTTCCGAGGGGCCTTTTACTCTTTAATATTTTTGTTTCATAGATATACTGAGAAAACACCGATCATTCTTAAATCTTGATAAATGTCTATGTATTCTGTTTACAAGGAAAATGGATTTTAGAGTTGGAGCTTGATAATAAACAGTTGAAATGAGTTAACCAATTAAGACTTGGGAATTGTTTTTGACTCAAATTAAACTTTGAACGTCATATCGAAACTATTGTCAAAAAATATTTGAGAAATGTGAGCTTCATTTGGAGAATAATTAAGATAAGGCCAAGATAAAGCCAAGAGAAAGCTTGGAACCATATTCAGTATATACGTTGTCAGAATCTAAAGCATACAATTTTTTAAACAACTTAAACTTCAGATACAATGGAATTTTTGCTCGTACAAAGAAAAATTAAATTTTTATAACTTGAAATCTCTTCAAACTCGAAGAAACTATTATGATGTGGCTTTTGTTTACAAAGTTTGTAAATAATTTATTTTACATCAACGCTAGTCCATATTAGGTTGGAACGAGATTGATATTTATAAATAATAAATCTTTATAAATAATATATGCTCGGAGTTATAATAGTTGTGTTTTTAAAAACGTTGTTGAGGCAGATATATTTATTTATTATACCTCATTTATTTTAATTTATTTGAAACAAGCGTATATAATTTTATAATTTATTTAAATGTTAACCTTTTTTTTTCGTTGTACAGGTAAGAAATTTATTGCTCACTTATTGCTCATATTGTACAATTCTGTAATTGGGTAGCTGCTTCTGCCTGTTAAATGACCAGGGGAATATAAATAAGTAAATAATAATAATAAATGTGAATGGCCCTTACATATATGAAATAATGCATCCAATTTTCAGCGAAAACTGGGCGTAGGACATTGAAAATAACATCATAAACAATTTTATAACACAGTTTGCTTTAAAACTATATCTCCGTCAAATTAAAACCATCTTTTTACAATGTCGAAACCGCGCAAAACCAGCATTTGCATTTTCAGTCGCGCGAAGGTACCGAATACCTGCTGCTGACGCCCGACAGGTGCCTGATTTTCCCGTCGACCGACTACGTCAGGAACTTGGTCACCAAACACTCGATCCGCCAGGGAATCCCGGTGGTGATAGATTGCTCGCATATCTACGGCGCAGATTACACCGCCGCGACCGTCATAGAAACTCTGACGCAAGATTTCGCGGCCAGAGATCAGCCCCTTCTGTTCTACAATCTGAAACCGTCCGTCAGTTCGGTATTCGAAGGTTTATCACCAAAGGACTTCGTCGTGTTTTACAACCACGAGGACGTGGACGAGCTGCTGAAAAATCGATCTTGCATCAAAAAACAGATCGAGATGAACTCGTAGCGGGGACTTGAGTTGTGGTGACGTTCGTTAGTAGAGACCATCGGGTTGTATAGCATTTTATCTGTGATATTCACGGTCGGAGGTTTATGTTTTATATCATTTGGTCCTTACTAGGTTTAATTTGTTTCAGTTTTTGTCAGACGAATAACCGAAAATTGTTTTGTTGCTAGACGAGTGACGCGAATTGCAAAATATAAAAACGTGAAATAATTAAAATACATGTTGATCTAAGAAAAAATTAATATAATATTTTGTTAACAGGTTTTATTAATTTTCCTTGCCTTTTTTTCTTTTTCTAATTTTCTTGACAATGATTCTTATTAACTAATTTTTTTTTTATACATGCTGTCCCGCGACATGACCGCAATAGCTTGGGAGTATGTTTTTGGGGCGATTTCAATTGAGAAATTTCAAATGAACTACCTACCTGAGCTACAAGCATTTGAAATTTTAAAAACCATTTAAAAGAAACCGCTTTATTTTATTGCATTATTTGTTCCAAATGTCCACCCAGTTACAGTGTACATAGTCTAGCTCTTCTTAGAATTGAAGTGGTGGTTCTGCTAAGTCTCAGGACCAGTAAGAGTAGTTCCTGCGGCATCCATTATTTTGCTCTCCAGTTGTTCTCTGTTTTCAAAAAAGTAATCTAAGGGATTCAGGTCAGGTGACCTTGCTGGCCAAGGGATTGTTGAACCTCTTCGAATCCACCGGTTTGTATAATTTTGATTAAGAAATTCTGTTACTTGTCGACCAATGTGAGGAGGTGCGCCATCGTTGTCTTCCTTCCATTAAGAGGAACACTATCCAGTAGTATTTGAAGATCATTTTCAATGAGACCTAAATAACGAATTTCCGTTCTTCAATTGTAAACGGAGCAACGATGCGGTCATCAATAACGCCACACCAAACATTCACCGAAAATCTATCTCCAAAAAATGGGATTCCTGATTTTGTCGTGGATTTCCAAATGCCCAACAATGCGAATTCCTTGTGTTATTGATACCGTTTCGGGTCAATGAGGCTTCATCACTAAATAACATTATCCGAGAAATCCTTTGATTTCTCAATAGCCAGCTACTAAATTCAAGTCTTTAAGCATAGTCGGCAGGTTTTAAAGTTTGTACAGGTAAGATATAGTACGGGTACAAACCGAAATTATGTAAAGTTCTGCACACTCTCATTCGGCCTTCGTTAGGTCTATTACCTATCCTGCGGATGCTAATAGAAGATTGAGCATCAATCATATTAAGTATTACAATTTTAAACAAAATGTTCTGTTAATAAATTAATAACAACCTTTTTGAAAAAAAAATTGAACATAGAAACTAGATAAGTTGTTGAAAGTGTCCTCCACCTTGGAGGATACACGATTCAGCTCTTTTCCATGTAACACACTATCCCTCGTTAATAGTTTCTTTCCGAGCCGCTTTTCCACTCCTCTCTAATTTTCCAATCAATAGGAACGTTCAAACCGAATTTAACTTCATGAAGGCCAACTAGCCTCATATGTAATAAGCTGATGCAAAAATGCAGACTGGAAAAGTGTTATGGAATGGTCGGATGTCGACAGGGCTCTAACACTTTTTTACGACACCCTAAACAATATTTTTGCCATTTGCACATCCACTAAAACACCGAGACGAATGCGATTTCCATCATGGTTCACCAAAGAAATGATCGATATATTTGAGAAAGAGAGAGCTTTCCGCAATTTCAAGCAACTGCGCAAGTCAATTAATTTCCAGTCGCGCATTGCCTATACTGAGTTTGTTCGTCATGCTGATTTAATAGTCATACCAATTTCTGGTCATTTATTTAGCGTAAGTTGGCAGATTCGTGAATCCCAGCCACCATGTCCTGAATCAGCCATGCCATGGACCTAGTATAGTTGTCGCAGCTTTTGCAAAGTACTTTGGTAGCGTTTACATCATATCACAGCCAGTGTCCTTTAATTTCGATCTAGTCAATATACCTAACCTTACCACCAAGGATGACTTATCATCAAGCAAAGCACTCAAAAACAAAATAACTGCATTCCTGATGGCATACCAAGTTTTATCGTAATAGACTGACATTTTTAACTTGCTACTTGTGATGGGTGTTTATCCAAAATCTTGGAAAATTACCAACAACAGTGATCCTTCCGTAATTCAAAACTAACGACCCATTTCGATCTTGTACAGTTTTTCGAAAATATTGGAGATTATATTACATAAAATTATTTTTGCTCAAATTAGAAATAAACTATTTACGTAACAACATGGCTTTTGTGCGAAAAGGTCATGTATCCCCCGTTACGTTCCCCGTCTTCTTATGTCTGTGACTCGCTGAAAAAGCAAGGTCAAGTTGACGTTATATGCACTGACTTCGTCAGAGCGTTTGACCAGATAGATCATCATCTACTGATTTGAAAAAGCATCTCAAAAATTTGGTTTCTCCGATTCGCTGATTTCAGTGTTGAGGTCCTATCTGGTGAACCGTCGACAGTTCGTTGAGTTTGAGTGCCTTAGATCAGTTCCTTTTGTTCCAACTTCTGGTGTGCCTCAAGGTTCTAACCTTGGACCAGTTTTATTCAATATATTTAATCACCTACGACAAGCTTGCCTATGCCGATGACCTAAAACTATATCACTGCATTAAAACCGGCATGGATTGCATGACTCTCCAGGACAACATCAATATTGTCTGTCAGTTGTGCGCTAAATATAAATTGCATCTTAATATCAGCAAGTGTAATGTGGTTTCCTACCTCAGCACAAAAGCTCCTACAGTCTTTAATTAGAATGTGTGTAGTGTCCTGACTAGACTTGCCACTGTAAAAGATCTGGGGACATAACTAAAATGGTTTCCATTGCAATGCAAATTCTAGGATTCCTAATAAGAAATTGTAGGCATTTTTGTAGCTCAGCTACTGTTAAATTGTTATTTAACTGTTACGTGAGATCCAAGCTTGACTATGGTTTGGTCACCAATATATAACTGCCACGCTCAACCCATTGAGAGTGTGCAGAAAAGGTCACTGAAGTATCTAATGTTCAGGAGGAGAGTTCGTATCCATTTCTCCTTACGGAGTGTATTGTCCATTTCCTCTGGAGGAATTACCTTTTCATGTGCCGCGGCTGGAAGGGAGACATTAATCAACTTTCTTGTCGCAGTTACCCAGGTCCAATATGCATTTTCAAAACCCTATTTACAATAGGTGCGTTACCTTTAACAAATTAACATTGCACTGCTATTTATATTATGATGGTCTCCAGGCGACACTTCGGTAACTTCGATTGGCGTCGGGTTATCCGTACTGACAAGTCTTATCCTTTTCATTCTCCTTCTATCCTTTTTGTTCTTATTTATACAATTAGTAGATTTAAAATTAGTTTTTACGTCTCCTGTGTATATATATTGAATGATTTATATTTAATATTTCCTGTAATTGGGTTATGTTACCTGTTGGGAATAAAGTGCTATTATTATTATTATTATTAAATTGCAGGAAGTTTTTGTACGATCCTACGATAAACTAAATTAATTAAATCTGGCGACGTAGGGGGCCATGGTTGAGGTCCGCCACGACCTACCACCAATCGGGTATTCTCTTCTTTTCTTCGGTTCAAATATGGTTATTGTGGAAATTTCTGATTGTATTTCCGGAAAAGTTAGCTTCATCTGTAAATAGTGTTTCTTGGTAAAACAAAAATGTACACGTAAGAGAAAATCTCTAGGAAGTAGATAGATTGATAATAACTTAAGTAAGAAATAGTAATGATAATAATTGTCTGCCTTCTGTCATATTAACAATATTGTTAAGACCAAGCAGAGAAGGGGTTTTTATTTTTTTAAGTGAAAACAGGACATCAAATTGAAAAATATAAAGATATTAAAGTTCTTTAGATATTTAGATTGGAGATTATAACAATAATTTTTATTTTAAAGGAAATAGATGGCATACCATAAATGGCTGCTGAAATAGACAGGTGAAATTCCGTACGTCCGCTTCTGGTGTATTAAAAAAAAGTGGTACCCTAATACCTGTTGATGTACGCCACATTTCATTAAAATATCTAAAGTGGAATTACAGATATTAAAAAAATATTTATATTATTTTTGAAAACTTTGCCATCCTGTATCTCAAAAGTGAAGACGTTTAGGACATATGTTCATATAAAGTTTTCTTTTTAAAATTGACCCAAAAATAGCCCCCTTAATGATTGATATTTAACTAGAAAACACCCAGTATGTTAGTTGCTTCCCGTGTCTAGTAATGGCTTTCGAACACAGAATTGAGTTTAAGGCACCCGTTATAGTTTTTTCTTTATTTACGCGTTTGTTAATTTCCCTCTCGAATCTTCCTTCACTATAAATTTTTATACCCAAACAGATGTACTTCTCACACCTCAATTTTTTGGTGTTCATCCAACAATAAATCTTCATTTATCCTCCGACACACATACAGGGTGTCCAACTAATGTGTCAAAGAAATATATATATATATATATATATATATATATATATATATATATATATATATATATATATATATATATATATATATATATATATATATATATATATATATATATATATATATATATATATATATATATATATATATATATATATATATATATTCACGTATTGATTCACGGAAGGAAAAATGTGATGACACTATATTTCGGGATATCATCCGTTCCCTTGTTGAACTCTGACTGGAATCCTGCAGACGTTTCGCCAAAATCTCACTTTTTATTATTCGTTTCAGAGAAAAACGGTAAACAAAAAAGTTATAAATGAGACTAAGAGAAACAATGTACAATTATTTTTAAATATACAGGGTGATTCATAAATATGGGGAAATCAAATTTACGTATTTCATATATCACTTTCTTTTATTCTCAGTCACCCAACGTAGGGTTGTTATGCTCCATACTGAGTGTTTTCGGATTTATGACAAGTTCGAATCGTTTATAATGGGTGAGTCAAAATGAAGAATATTAATTTTCATAAAAAAATTTAATGGAACGCTGCGTATATCATACTTTCTTTTATTACTAATATTATGCTCTTTCAAAGTTACTATTTATTAATTTTTGCGAAAAATATACTGAAATTTTTCACAACTGGCGAAAATATCACACAAGAATGAGAACAATTTTACCTCCAGAGACGAATTAATTATAATTCTTTCAGATAATGCCATTCGTGACATGTTGCTAAAAAATATGATTCTCGAATGATTATTTATTTAATTTTATTTATTTATTTAGCATTTCGACCTAGGGACTAA